CAACAGTTTGGATTGCCTTTATAGAGCTCATGCTGATAACATAGCTTCTTTTGTGCTCAATAAACTAGGTGACAATCATATTTGTATCTTAGGTGATTTTAATATTTCAAATATTAATTGGAGTCAAAGTTATTGCTCTGCTGGACTAATGCCAACTAATATGTCATCATCATTTGAAACCTTTTTTATTGATAATATATTAAGTCTAAACCTATTGCAGATAAATCGTTTTGAAAATAAGCTCGATAAAATTTTAGATCTTATATTTATCAACGAAAATGTCAATTTTTTTCTGTCTAAATGTCATGCACCAATTTCTCCCACGGATATGCACCATGTGGCTCTTGTTCTTAAGGTTGAATTTTATGAATTTGGTGAATCTGTCTTAGGGCGGGTAATCGCTTTTAACTATGCGCGTTGTAATTTTTATACCTTAAATCAACTTTTATCGGATATCAATTGGAACGAATTGCTTTCTAACTCTGACCCTGCTTATTGTTATAATATTTTCAAATCAGCAGTATATGATATTTGCTTGAATAATATTCCAGTTGTTAAACCAAGACCTTATAAATTGCCTTGGTACACCAAGGGGCTGAAGAATCTGAAAAATTTAAGAAATAAGTTTTATAAGAAATATAAGAAGACACAGCATCAATCTTTTTATGATACCTATCTGCATTATGTGAAGGAATTCAATTGCTTGGATAAGTTCCTGTATAAAAAATATATTCTTAACTTTGAATCTAATATAAAGTCCATTCCCAAGGCATTTTGGACCTTCATTAAATCGAAGAATTCATGCTCGTCGATACCCTCTACGATTTTCTATAAAGATAAACACGTCAATTCCACCAAGGATGCTGCTAATTTGTTCGCTGATTTCTTCTATTCGAATTTTGTTTGTGACAATGATGTGTCCTGTGAGGACTTTTCTTCGGATGTTAAATCCTTAATTAATCTTGGCACAATCTCACTTTCAGCAAGCGATATTGTTAATGGTATTTCTAAGCTCAAGTGGTTGGGCGTTCCACTGTTTCCAACTTAGCCGTTTTCAGTGAATTTTGTGCTTCCGCTTTTACTGCAGGAAGCCAAGTGGACTGCATATATACTGATTTCTTGAAAGCTTTTGATACAGTCTCCCACAAAATATTAATTCATAAACTTGCTTGTCTTGGGTTCCACTCAATTTTCTTGCAATGGCTTAAATCGTATTTATGCAAAAGGCAGTGCATAGTTACCATTGATAATGTGTCGTCTGATGCTTTTACTGCCACTTCAGGAGTTCCTCAGGGGAGAATTCTTGGTCCTCTACTCTTTACTTTGTTTATAAATGACATTACTTCGTGTTTTTCTCATGCTAGTTCTTTGCTATATGCCGATGACCTGAAGATCTACTCAGTGGTAAATAATGGGCTGGATATGCTGAAACTTCAATCGGATGTTAAGAATCTTCACTCATGGTGTATTAGATCGCATCTTTGCTTAAATATAAATAAATGTTTTCGTGTTAGTTATTCGAAATCGCGCTCCCAATTTGAAAGTTCATACAGAATATCCAACTGTGTTTTACGCAGTGTTTATGAGATTAAGGACCTTGGGGTTATATTCGACTCTAAATTTAATTTTAATAATCATGTTAAATTCATTATTTCGAAATCTTATGCTATGCTTGGCGTTCGGCGGAACTGTGCTGAATTTTCTGATCCTTATACGTGGAAATTGCTCTACTCCTCATTTGTGCGTTCACATCTTGAGTATGCTACAACAATTTGGCGGCTTTTTCATCAGTTTAACATTGACAGGATTGAACGCGTCCAAAGGTTTTTCTTAAATATGCTTTGCGATCTCTATATTTTACTGATCCCACCCCGTCATACAATTCTCGATTGCTTCTTTTAAATTTAAAATCTCTGGAAAGCAGGAGGTATGTCCTCTCTTTAACTTTTGTTGTTAGCATTATTCAGGGTGTTCTTGACTGTCCGGCCCTTTTAGAGAAAATAAATTTTAATGTTCCGAGAAGGGAACTACGTAGTTACTATCCGTTTTATAATAGAACTATTTATGCCCGTAATGCACCTCTTACCCGTGCCTTAATTAAACTTAACCAGATCTCAATTTTTATCGAGCTTGATTTTTCTTTACAAAGAAATATTTTTGTCAATCTTTTGAACTCATTTTTTAACTAATGTTGTATTTTTACTTGTGTAAGTAGCCTGTAAGAATTATTGTTCATAGGCTACACAATAAAAAAATAAATAAGTAATTATCCGAAGTATTTGCTCTACGATGGAGGCGTGTAATATGNATGCTGCTAATTTGTTCGCTGATTTCTTCTATTCGAATTTTGTTTGTGACAATGATGTGTCCTGTGAGGACTTTTCTTCGGATGTTAAATCCTTAATTAATCTTGGCACAATCTGACTTTCAGCAAGCGATATTGTTAATGGTATTTCTAAGCTCAAGTGGTTGGGCGTCCCACTGTTTCCAACTTAGCCGTTTTCAGTGAATTTTGTGCTTCCGCTTTTACTGCAGGAAGCCAAGTGGACTGCATATATACTGATTTCTTGAAAGCTTTTGATACAGTCTCCCACAAAATATTAATTCATAAACTTGCTTGTCTTGGGTTCCACTCAATTTTCTTGCAATGGCTTAAATCGTATTTATGCAAAAGGCAGTGCATAGTTACCATTGATAATGTGTCGTCTGATGCTTTTACTGCCACTTCAGGAGTTCCTCAGGGGAGAATTCTTGGTCCTCTACTCTTTACTTTGTTTATAAATGACATTACTTCGTGTTTTTCTCATGCTAGTTCTTTGCTATATGCCGATGACCTGAAGATCTACTCAGTGGTAAATAATGGGCTGGATATGCTGAAACTTCAATCGGATGTTAAGAATCTTCACTCATGGTGTATTAGATCGCATCTTTGCTTAAATATAAATAAATGTTTTCGTGTTAGTTATTCGAAATCGCGCTCCCAATTTGAAAGTTCATACAGAATATCCAACTGTGTTTTACGCAGTGTTTATGAGATTAAGGACCTTGGGGTTATATTCGACTCTAAATTTAATTTTAATAATCATGTTAATTTCATTATTTCGAAATCTTATGCTATGCTTGGCGTTCGGCGGAACTGTGCTGAATTTTCTGATCCTTATACGTGGAAATTGCTCTACACCTCATTTGTGCGTTCACATCTTGAGTATGCTACAACAATTTGGCGGCTTTTTCATCAGTTTAACATTGACAGGATTGAACGCGTCCAAAGGTTTTTCTTAAATATGCTTTGCGATCTCTATATTTTACTGATCCCACCCCGTCATACAATTCTCGATTGCTTCTTTTAAATTTAAAATCTCTGGAAAGCAGGAGGTATGTCCTCTCTTTAACTTTTGTTGTTAGCATTATTCAGGGTGTTCTTGACTGTCCGGCCCTTTTAGAGAAAATAAATTTTAATGTTCCGAGAAGGGAACTACGTAGTTACTATCCGTTTTATAATAGAACTATTTATGCCCGTAATGCACCTCTTACCCGTGCCTTAATTAAACTTAACCAGATCTCAATTTTTATCGAGCTTGATTTTTCTTTACAAAGAAATATTTTTGTCAATCTTTTGAACTCATTTTTTAACTAATGTTGTATTTTTACTTGTGTAAGTAGCCTGTAAGAATTATTGTTCATAGGCTACACAATAAAAAAATAAATAAGTAATTATCCGAAGTATTTGCTCTACGATGGAGGCGTGTAATATGCCGAATTACTTAAATAACCCTTTGCTCGTGAAAACTTTGGTGGATAAATTGCCAAATAGCCATAAACTAAATTGGTGAAAGCGTTCAGCGACTGGATATATGCTATAGCTGCTGCAGCCAGTCAAGTCGTGTCAGCTGTGATGTGTAAGAAAAGTGCGTCGGTAAACACGCATCAACAAATTGACACTGTAAAGCCAATTTGTTTTGCGTGTAAGAGCGAAACTCATAAAATACAAACTTGTGGTGAGTTCCAGTTACTGAATTTAGACGACAAATGGAGTTTGGTGAAGAAAAGCAAATTGTGCCGCCAGTGCCTAAATCTTCATCGGCGTAAGTGCTTTTCCAATAAACAGTGCGGTATTAATGGCTGTGCAGCAAAGCACCACCCATTGCTACACAAAAACATAAATTTATCACTTGAACGAAGTGAAATTGTGAATGCTCATAGTCATGAAGACGGGTCGCGCTTCAGAATTTTGCCGATCAGAGTTTATTGTAATGGTTCCTCTGTCGACACATATGCGTTTTTGGACGAAGGCTCATCAGTGACTCTAATTGAACAGACGTTTTTCAATAAATTGGGGCTAAAAGGTAAGCGTGCACCACTAGAGCTTCGATGGACAGGAGATACTACACGCTCTGAAGACGAATCGGTGAAGATTAACTCAGAATTATCCAGTGTTAATGGTGAATCCCGTTACACGTCCATAACCTTCGTCTACCATCACAGTCCTTGAATTTCGATAATATCGCCAAGGCCAACCCATATCTTAAAGGCTTGCCAGTGCAGTCATATGCAAACTCCAAGCCGATGATTTTAATTGGCCTAAACAACTGTAGAGTGGCAGTCCCACTGAAGATACGACAAGGTGGGCGCNGAATCGGTGAAGATTAACTCAGAATTATCCAGTGTTAATGGTGAATCCCGCTACACTCTATACGACGTTCGTACCGTCCATAACCTTCGTCTACCATCACAGTCCTTGAATTTCGATAATATCGCCAAGGCCAACCCATATCTTAAAGGCTTGCCAGTGCAGTCATATGCAAACTCCAAGCCGATGATTTTAATTGGCCTAAACAACTGTAGAGTGGCAGTCCCACTGAAGATACGACAAGGTGGGCGCGGTCAGCCAATTGCAACTAAAACCCGCCTCGGCTGGTCTTTGCAGGGCGATGGAAAAATTTCCGGATCATCCGGTTCATTAAATATTCATANCAAGCCGATGATTTTAATTGGCCTAAACAACTGTAGAGTGGCAGTCCCACTGAAGATACGAGAAGGTGGGCGCGGTCAGCCAATTGCAACTAAAACCCGCCTCGGCTGGTCTTTGCAGGGCGGTGGAAAAATTTCCGGATCATCCGGTTCATTAAATATTCATACGTGTGAGTGCGAAAAACGCTACAAAGTGCTACACGATGAAGTGAAGGAGTATTTCGCCCTGGAAGTGTCTCAAGAGAAGAAAATTTTATCAGCCGATGATGAAAAGGCCATGAAGGTTCTCCAAAGTACAGCTGTAAAAATAGATCAACGGTTCGAAGTCGGTTTGCTCTGGAAGAACGAACCGGTGCAATTGCCCGAAAGTTACGAAGTCGCATATAATCGCCTAAAGTGTCTTCAAAGAAAGTTCAATAAGAACCCCCAGTTACAGCAAACAATGCAAGGGGAAATTGACAAACTAATTTCTAAGGGCTATGCGCGCAAGGTGTTGGATTCAGAAATGTTTTCGTTTAAGGGCCGGACATGGTATCTTCCAGTCTTCGTTGCTCTCAATTCGAACAAACCCGGTAAAGTGCGCCTAGTCTGGGACGCGGCGGCAAAGTCACATAACAAGTCTCTTGACGCCACTCTTTAATATTCTAATTGAGTTTCGCGTAGGGAAAATAGCGATTTGCGGCGACATAGCCGAAATGTTTCACCGCATAAATGTAAGAGATGAAGACATTCACGCTCAGCGATTTTCGTGGTTCGAAAACGAGGGCGGTAAATATAAGCCGTGTGCGTATGTTATGAAGGCCCTAACCTTTGGCATAAGCTGTGCGCCCTGCATCGCTCATTTCGTCCGTAACAAGAATGCAGAAGAATTTCGTAGTGTGTATCCACGCCGTGAAATCAGTGGAGAGCTATCACTATATGGACGACTTTATCGATAGTGTGGACATCGAAGCAGAGGCGATTGAATTGGCAATGACAGTTAAAAGAATCCACGCTTCTGGCGGCTTTCATATGAGAAATCGGCAACAAACTCCCCTCTTGTAAGACAAGAATTGTGCGATGATGGATCTCCAGCGGAAAAGTTGTTTGGAGCTACAGAAAAAATTCTCGGTATGTTTTGGGAATCCAATAATGACGTTTTTTAGTACAATTACAGATTCTCGAGGCTCAGAAGAGATGTTTTCCAAACGAACGTGGTCCCTACCAAAAGAGAAGTTCTGCAAGGGCTAATGTCCATATTCGACCCGCTTGGACTTGTATCGGACTTAACGATTGGTCTTAAAATTTTAGTGCAAGACATTTGGCGCTCAGGAATAAAGTGGGATGACGAACTCAGCGGGGAGCTACGCGTAAAATGGCGTTCACGGCTTTCGAATCGGCATAAAATATCGTCTACCGTCATCCCCAGATGCTATTCTAGGCTGCTAAAAATGGCGTCGACCGTCCAGTTGCATAAGTTTGTTGACGCAGGCGAAAATGCGTACGCTGCGGTATGCTATTTTCGAATTCAATATAATAGCGACGTCGATGTTTCAATTGTAGCAGTTAAGTCCAAGGTGACCCCTATAAAGCCGATATCAATCCCTCGATTAGAGTTGCAAGCGGCGTTAATTGGTACGTGCTTGGCCGCGAAAATTAGAAACGCGACAAGACTTCATTGTATCGATAGCTTCTTCTGGTCCGATTCCAAGACCGTGTTAAAATGGTTGTCCATGGATCCGAAAAACTTCAAGGCGTTCGTGATGCATAGAGTTGGCGAAATACTGGAGTCAACTAACGCTACTCAATGGAATTGGGTCCCATCCAAGATGAATCCAGCCGACCATTCGACAAAGATTGGCACAACAACAGATGACAACATGTGGACGAGAGGACCTGAATTTCTGAAATTCGAGACATTTGAATGGACAAAATGTTTACACTTGGAGAGCGCCGATGACGAAGAAGTACGTAATCGGCTGTTACACATCTGCTCGCCGAAATGTTTCTCTATGTTTCTATTATATATGGAAAAGTTAGAGGCCGCGACCCATAGCAGCAAAGCACCAGAAAACATCCAATTCGAATGCATCCAGAAATCTAAAAACATCTTATTCAAATACGCCCAACTGAGCGAGTTTGCTGAGGAGATTTGGTGTCTAAAAAATTGTAAACAGATCCACAAAAGTAGTAAGCTAAAGCAATTTAATATGTTCCTGGATGAAAATGGCGTCATACGAGCTTGCGGCAGGGCGAGCACGCTAAATTGTAATCAGGCAATAATTTTACCTCACAGCCATTATATTGCATTCCTTGTGGTTCGATATTATCATAAAAATGGTCACCATTGTTTGCATGAAGCAGTGATTTGTAAAATTAAATCATATTTTTACATCCCTAGATTAAGGGCTCTCTACAAAGGCGTCCGAAGCAGATGCCAGTACTGTAAGGACGATGCAGCAGTGCCCCATTCCCCACAAATGGCTTCTTTACCGCCAGCAAGACTGTCGAGTTTTGAACGTCCATTTACGTACGTTGGTATCGATTTTTTTGGCCCTCTGTATGCAACCGTTGGCAGACGTAAGGCAAAAAGATGGGGTGTTTTGTTTACGTGCCTGACTGTGCGGGCAATACATATTGAAGTGGCTCACAGTCTTGATACCAGTTCGTGCATTATGTGTATCCCCAACTTCATCAGTCGACGTGGCTCACCGAGAGAAATATACACTGATAACGGAACCAATTTTAAGTCTGTGGAAAAAATTCTTCGTGAAGAAAATCTAAACTTACGCCAAGTCTCCTCTAAGTGCGACGATATTAAATGGCGGTTTAATCCTCCAGCGGCCCCGCATATGGGCGGAGCATGGGAGCGTTTAATACGAACGGGGAAATCAATACTCTATGCTATGTGTCCCGCCTTTAAGTTTAAGGATGAGACTTTAAGATGTGCCCTATGGGAAATTGAGTTCATTATTAATTCTCGCCCATTGACATTTGTGAGCTTGGAATCATGTGAAGACGACCCGCTAACACCGAATCATCTTTTACTAGGTGCTAAGCCTCTAGTGGAGCATGATCACGATCTCTGACATCGGTGGCATCAAACCCAAAAGTTTGCTAATCATTTTTGGCGACGATGGGTACGCGAATATTGTCCGAGTCTGGTGCGACGTAGCAAGTGGTTCGAGAAGGTGAAGCCGCCATCTGTCGGAGATATAGTCATACTAGTTGACGAAACGCTACCCCGTAATAGCTGGCACAAGGGAGTCGTCACCGAAACAATCACTGCCAAGGATGGTCAAGTACGCCGTGTCATGGTCAAAACCAGTACCAGTTTGTTTGAGAGGCCCGCCACCAAAATAGCTGTATAAGACGTCGGAATTGCTCAAGACGGCAAGCTCATGAATCCCTAACTCGCTTGCAAGGTGGGGAATGTTACCGCCGCCACTGTATTATGTATCTATATTAGTTATTATCTATCTATTCTATTTTCGCTTTCGCAATACATAATTGAATACATACACTCGATCTATGTGGACAGTAAATACATATGCATGTACATATTATTACTATTTATTGTTTTCTAATAACGGTGCTATCTGGTGACACTATTACGCTTAAAAGGACATTGCAAACTAGAAATTAGTGGCAGTCGGTTTTGTCAAACAGCAAGAAAACATATTGCTTTAAAGCATCATCACTATTTGTTAATTGCAGTAAGCCCATAATTTGGAAATAAATCGATTGCTCTTAAAATTTTTCGTGTTTGATTTAAGCTGAAAGCCACAGCCATACTCGTTGAGACATTTCATAATTCCTTCTTTTAAATTTGCAGCTGTATGTCGTTTAGTTGTTTCAATCATTCCTGAAAAAAAGTAAAGAAGTATGATTGTTGAATACTTATTCATGTAAATGAATATACATTTGTTTGTATGTGTGTTTATTTATATAAAACGAAATTACTTACCAATTGTATGAACAATNAAAAAAAAGTAAAGAAGTATGATTGTCGAATACTTATTCATTTAAATGAATATACATATGTATGTATGTGTGTTTATTTATATAAAACGAAATTACTTACCAATTGTATGAACAATGACTTTGTAATCTTTAATGTATTGGATGTTGATCCCCAGCACGCTTCTTTCCATGCGAGTTGCGCTGTAAATTTTTATAGATATATTATTTTATTTTTTACCGCATGACCTATTTTTTCCTTAATTTGTTGACTTGCTTTGTCAAGAATGCTTACTATGTTCTTTGAGTTTAAATGTATACCAAACTTCTGCTCGTATGGTGATATAAGTTGTTTAAAATATTCCTCGTCATCAAATATTCGAAAGGGAATATTTTT